TTTTATCTGGCAACAAAACTGACACCTTTTTTTACAAGGAGTCATTTTTGCATTGACCACAATACCTGCGGTTGGAATGCAAACAAAAAACAACAACTCTGATAATGTATTATGCACTGTCCTTGAAATTGATTGGTCCGCACCCGAGACAGCTTTCCTTAGAGCCTCGTCTCACATTGGTGTTGCGCCTTTTGGCATCATCTGGTCCAACAACACAGTGAGACTAGGGCTCTAAGGAAAGCTGTCTCGGGTGTGGACCAATCAATTTCAAGGACAGTGCCAATATTATTATCAGAGTTGTGCGTTTTTTTGTTTGCATTCCGACCGCAGGTATTGTGGTCAATGCAAACATGACTCCTTGTCAAAAAAGGTGTCAGTTTTGTTACCAGATAAAAGGGTAAAAAACCAATTATCATATTTTGTTACTGGCAAATGAGGTTTCCAATTGTGTAAATGCTTAAACCCCGAGCTCTCATACTCTGATGGTGCATTGTCTTCGAGTTGTGCGCCTTTTGGCGTCATCTGGTCCAACACCACAGTGAGACTAGGGCTCTAAGGAAAGCTGTCTCGGGTGTGGACCAATCAATTTCAAGGACAGTGCCAATATTATTATCAAAGTTGTGCGTTTTTTGTTTGCATTCCGACCACAGATATTGTGGTCAATGCAAACATGACTCCTTGTCAAAAAAGGTGTCAGTTTTATTGCCAGATAAAAGGGTAAAAAAACAATTATCATATTTTGCTACTGGCAAATGAGGTTCCCAATGGTGTAAATGTTTAAACCCCGAGCTCTCATACTCTGATGGTGCATTGTCTTTGAGTTGTGCGCCTTTTGGCGTCATCTGGTCCAACACCACAGTGAGACTAGGGCTCTAAGGAAAGCTGTCTCGGGTGTGGACCAATCAATTTCAAGGACAGTGCCAATATTATTATCAGAGTTGTGCGTGTTTTTGTTTGCATTCCGACCGCAGGTATTGTGGTCAATGTAAACATGACTCCTTGTCAAAAAAGGCGTCAGTTTTATTGCCAGATAAAAGGGTAAAAAAACAATTATCATATTTTGCTACTGGCAAATGAGGTTCCCAATGGTGTAAATGCTTAAACCCCGAGCTCTCATACTCTGATGGTGCATTGTCTTCGAGTTGTGCGCCTTTTGGCGTCATCTGGTCCAACACCACAGTGAGACTAGGGCTCTAAGGAAAGCTGTCTAGGGTGTGGACCAATCAATTTCAAGGACAGTGCCAATATTATTATCAGAGTTGTGCGTTTTTTTGTTTGCATTCCGACCACAGATATTGTGGTCAATGCAAACATGACTCCTTGTCAAAAAAGGTGTCAGTTTTGTTACCAGATAAAAGGGTAAAAAACCAATTATCATATTTTGTTACTGGCAAATGAGGTTCCCAATGGTGTAAATGCTTAAACCCCGAGCTCTCATACTCTGATGGTGCATTGTCTTCGAGTTGTGTGCCTTTTGGCGTCATCTGGTCCAACACCACAGTGAGACTAGGGCTCTAAAGAAAGCTGTCTCGGGTGTGGACCAATCAATTTCAAGGACAGTGCCAATATTATTATTATCAAAGTTGTGCGTTTTTTTTGTTTGCATTCCGACCGCAGGTATTGTGGTCAATGTAAACATGACTCCTTGTCAAAAAAGGTGTCAGTTTTGTTACCAGATAAAAGGGTAAAAAACCAATTATCACATTTTGTTACTGGCAAATGAGGTTTCCAATTGTGTAAATGCTTAAACCCCGAGCTCTCATACTCTGATGGTGCATTGTCTTCGAGTTGTGCGCCTTTTGGCGTCATCTGGTCCAACACCACAGTGAGACTAGGGCTCTAAGGAAAGCTGTCTCGGGTGTGGACCAATCAATTTCAAGGACAGTGCCAATATTATTATCAGAGTTGTGCGTTTTTTTTTGTTTGCATTCCGACCGCAGGTATTGTGGTCAATGTAAACATGACTCCTTGTCAAAAAAGGTGTCAGTTTTGTTGCCAGATGAAATGGTAAAAAAAAAACAATTATCAACACATTTGTTGTTATAATGCGGATTGCGGATTTTTCATTTGCAGTAAAACCCCTTGTTTATTCCACACTGGCCTTGCCGAATTATCCAATATTCCGAATTGTGTACAACGTTAAACTCTCCAGTGCCTCTTGCCCCAATATGCAAGTAATAATCCAAATTTGTTTTCCAAACTCTTCACGCACCAAACGCATCGATTCTATCCAGAACCGTGGTGTTTCGTGTAGTAGTGTAGTGCATAGTAGTGTATGGTAGTGTTGTGTATGGTAGTGTAGTGCATAGTAGTGTATGGTAGTGTTGTGTATGGTAGTGTAGTGTATAGTCGTGGGTTGTTCGATGCCTGTTGCTGTACATTTGGAGTTTGCGTGTCTCTCCGAGTTCCTCCGGTTTTTCCTCTCTACATTCATAATCGACGTCACAGCCTTTAGATTATTTGGCTGCCGATATAAAATGTCCACGTGACGACGGTGATGACGACGATGATGATGAAGATATCAGCCAATCGGTTGAAGACGACCGTTTGTGCTATGGTCGAAACGTCGTGAGAATTTTTTTTATTGTTTTATATATATTTTATTATTTTGTTGTTTCCCTTCAACGTGACTTTACCGAAAGAACTAAGAATATGAATTACTGCAGTCACGAAAGCTTTCAATCAAAATTCAGCTATCATTTTGTTATGGCCCGGGTCGCTTCTGGTAAAGAGCTACGTAGTTCAGTGGGACCTCACACCTGGCAAAACATGAGAGCAATTGTTGGGTTCTTAGTCACGCAGCCAGCCCAGGGGGACGTGCCAGCGCTGTTGATTAGCGCCGCTCACAGCTCAGCGCGTCTTAAGGGGCCATCCATAAATGACGTCACGCGATTTCGGACGATTTTTGACCCCGCCCCCCCTCCTCCTCCTCCCCCCTCGTCACACGTCGTCACAAAACGTCAGACCACCCCCCCCCCCTCCCTCAATTATGACGTCACAAAGCTCTGCCCCCCCCCCCTCCCCCCCATAAAAGAAACATGCTTCAAATCGATTCTAGATTTGAAGCTTTCGTGACTGCAAGGATCCACATACTCCTCTTCTTTGGTTCTTTCGGTAAAGTCACGTAGAATGAGAATAAAATAATAAATTGATAAAATAAAATAACACAATAATATTCTCACGACGTTTCGGCCACAACACAAGCGGCCTTCATCAGGTGAAGGGACGAGACTGTCTGGTAGGACAGCGCTGGAGTGAAAGAGCCACGTTCAGATCACGGCCTTTAAGCTGTGTGAGAGGAACAAAGCGCCTTGACAAAGGAATTAGCATAGAATTTAGCATTGAAATGGCTGAATGATTAGTTTGTGACTGGTTATTTTATTTTATCAATTTATTATTTTATTCTCATTCTACGTGGTGACTTTACCGAAAGAACCAAAGAAGATGAATCATTGCAGTCACGAAAGCTTTAAATCGAAAGATTCACATACTCTTTGGTTCTATTCGGTAAAGTCACGTAGTAGGTAACAAAAAAATAAAACAACAAAAATCACGACGTTTCGGTCCACAACACAAGCGGCCTTCATCAGGTGAAGGGACCCCCAGACTGTCTCGAGGACAGCGCTGGAGTGAAACAGAGCCAAGCTCAGACCGCGGACCTTTAAGCTGTGTGAGAGGGATTAAGGTGAAGGCACAAAATTGTCGGGATGACAGAGCTCATTGGAGCTCATTGGAGCTCTGTCATCCCGGACAGTTTTGCTCCTTCACCTTAATCCCCCCTCACACAGCTTAAAGGTCCGTGGTCTGAGCTTGGCTCTGTTTCACTCCAGCGCTGTCCTCCAGACAGTCTGGGGGTCCCTTCACCTGATGAAGGCCGCTTGTGTTGTGGCCGAAACGTCGTGAGAATTTTGCTGTTTTATTTTTTTTACCTACTACATGACTTTACCGAATAGAACCAAAGAGTACAGTGCTTCAAATCGCTCTAAACTATTGTTGTCATTTCATATTCTTAGTTTTTTCGGTAAAGTCACGTTGAAGGGAAACAACAAAATAATAAAATATATATACCGAAAAAACTAAGAATATGAATTACTGCAGTCACGAAAGCTTTAAATCAAAATGTATTGTTGTCATTGTTGCGCGTATTTAATGTGGCGCTGCACTCTGATGTTGTAGGAGAAAACATTCATTAAAAAGTCTATTTAATTAAGTAGAACGTATTCTTGGTTCTTTCGGTAAAGTCACCACGTAGAAGGGAAACAATAAGGATTTTATCTTTTTATATATATTTTTTATTTTATTGTTTCCCTTCTACGTGGCGGTGACTTTACCAAAAGAACCAAGAATATTAATCCCTGCACTCACGAAAGCTTTAAATCAAAATTGAAATAGAACGTGTTGCCTATATTTATTTAAAGTTGCGCATTTTGATCAGAATCAGAATCAGAAAGGGTTTTATTCGCCATGTAAGTTCACACCGACACGGAATTTACTTTGGCAGGATGGTGCTTACGTTCAACATATAGGAATCTAAAATCTTAAATAAGTTTTAAACAAGTCTTACTATAATAATAAGGGTTAAAAGTCTAACACCAAGGGGCTGAAGTATATAAAATTAAATAAATATCGAATATCAAATAGCTTTAAGATATAATTTAAAAATAAAAAAAATACCAATAGGGTAACATAGTTAATATCGGCAAGGTGTCGTTATGTAGATCAAATGTTAAAAACAGTGTTAGCCCTTGGCCTTGTTTAACAGGCCAGCAGCAGATGGGAAGAAATTGTTTTTATGGCGTGAGGTTTTGGTCCTGATGGACCGAAGCCTTCTGCCGGAGGGGAGTAGCTGAAACAGAGAGTGTCCAGGGTGGGAGAAATCGGGTCATAATCTTCCTCGCTCGCCTCATGGACGTCACATTTCTCAACCCCCCCTCCCCCTCCCTCCTCATCACACAGCGTCACAAATATCTGACCACCCCCACCCCACCCCAACCCCCTAGGTTCGTGACGTCATTTATGGACGGCCCCGAAGGAGCGCCGAGCCGGAGTCTGGCCCCAGTACCAATGTCGTCGGTACCCAAGAGGCAGATGGCCGGTGACGATGTTCAACCCGAAGAGATCGAGGGGCTTACCTTTGGCGATGACGGCGACAACGCCGACGATGGAGCTGATGATGACGACGAAGATGATTACAGCTAAGATCGTACAAGTGCGGTGGTCTGCAACAAACGATGGGGAGTGGGGGAGTGGGGGAGTAAACCGTGAGGCACTACACAGCTTCTGCTGGAAGAGTAGTTACTACTAATAATAATAATAATTAAAATTTATAGCGCGGCATTCCATATATTTCAAACCCTTGTCAGTGCCCTACCTTATTGTAGGCCAACTCAGACCTCATAGGTCACCCCCGTGCCCTTGTGAATCTCAACGTTCTTCCTATGCACTACACTATATACTACACTCCACTCCACTATACGCTACACACTATGCACTCCACTTTACACTATGCATTACACTATACACTACACTGTGTACTCCACTACACACTACCATACACTACACTACTATACACTACACTATACACTACACCACTATACATGTACTCCACTACACACTACCATACACTACACTATACACTACACTACTATACACTACACGACTAAACGCTACACTACACACTACACTACTATACACTACACCACTATACACTACACTACTATACACTACACCACTATACACTATACACTACTATACACTACACTATACACTACACTATACACCACTATACACTATACTAAACACTACACTATACACTACACTATACACTACACTATACACTACACTAAACACTACACTTTACACTACACTAAACACTATACTATACACTGCACTATACACTCTGATATATACTCCACTGTACACACCACTATATACTACACCATACACTAGATTAGGATACACTACACTATACACTACACTCCTATACACGACACTATACACTACACTACTACATACAGTGAGGGAAAAAAGTATTTGATTCCCTGCTGATTTTGTACGTTTGCCTACTGACAAATAAATGATCAGTCTATGATTTTAATGGTAGGTTTATTTGAACAGTGAGAGACAGAATAACAACAACAAAATGCAGAAAAATAAGCATTTGCCCCCTCTACAAAACATTACTTAGTACTTGGTGACAAAACCCTTGTTGGCAATCACAGAGGTCAGACGTTTATTGTAGTCGGTCACCAGGTTTGCACACATCTCAGGAGGGATTTTGTCCCACTCCTCTTTGCAGATCTTCTCCAAGTAATTAAGGTTTCGAGGCTGACGTTTGGCAACTCGAAACTTCAGCTCCCTCCACAGATGTTCTATCGGATTAAGGTCTGGAGACTGGCTAGGCCACTCCAGGACCTAATGTGCTTCTTCTTGAGCCACTCCTTTGTTGCCTTGGCCGTGTGTTTTGGGTCATTGTCATGCTGGAATACCCATCCACGACCCATTTTCAATGCTCTGGAGGTTCTCACCCAAGATTTGACGGTACATGGCCCCGTCCATCGTCCCTTTGATGCGGTGAAGTTGTCCTGTCCCCTTAGCAGAAAAACACCCCCAAAGCATAATGTTTCCACTTCCATGTTTGACGGTGGGGATGGTGTTCTTGGGGTCATAGGCAGCATTCCTCCTCCTCCAAACACGGCGAGTTGAGTTGATGCCAAAGAGCTCCATTTTGGTCTCATCTGACCACAACACTTTCACCCAGTTGTCCTCTGAATCATTCAGATGTTCATTGGCAAACCTCAGACGGGCATGTATATGTGCTTTCTTGAGCAGGGGGACCTTGCGGGCGCTGCAGGATTTCAGCCCTTCACAGCGTAGTGTGTTACCAATTGTTTTCTTGGTGACTATGGTCATAGCTGCCTTGAGATCATTGACAAGATCCTCCCGTGTAGTTCTGGGCTAATTCCTCACCGTTCTCGTGATCATTGCAACTCCACGAGGTGAGATCTTCTTCCATTTGCGAATAATTGCACCAACTGTTGTCACCTTCTCACCAAGCTGCTTGGCAATGGTCTTGTAGCCCATTACAGCCTTGTGTAGGTCTACAATCTTGTCCCTGACATCCTTGGAGAGCTCTTTGGCTTTTGCCATGGTGGAGAGTTTGGAATCTGATTGATTGATTTCTTCTGTGGACATGTGTCTTTTATACAGGTAACAAGCTGAGATTAGGAGTGTGCTCCTAATCTTAGCTCGTTACCTGTATAAAAGACACCTGGGAGCCAGAAATCTTTATGATTAAGAGGGGGTCAAATACTTATTTCCCCCATTAAAATGCTAATCAATTTATAACATTTTTGACATGCGTTTTTCTGGATTTTTTTAATGATTTTTTTGCTGTCTCTCACTGTTCAAATAAACCTACCGTTAAAATTATAGACTGTTCATTTCTTTTTCAGTGGCAAAACGTACAAAATCAGCAGGGGATCAAATACTTTTTTTCCCTCACTGTACCTGTGAACCTCCAATCAGTGTCCTACTTATCACAGACCAATTCAGACCTTATCGGTCACCCCGTGCCCTTCTAACTCTCAACGTCCATGCTCCAAAGCCCGTATTGAAACGGCTGTACGCCATATGGACCTGAAAACTCAATTTCCCCTGTACAAGAATACGGGGTAAACCGTTTGGCTTGACAGGAATGGAATTCCATCCTAGGATCCCCAATGCGCAATGCTTGCAATGGGGTTGTGTTGTGGGGTTCGCGAAGTCTCACAAGTCGTCCATTTGTTCCCTTCAAGTGGTAGTGTTTTATTGGCATCTGCAACATATCACAACAACAACAACAACAAATGCACGTTAATATAAATCATCAAGCAATCCTTATTCATATGAAGGTGAATTCGTGCACAGAGCAAGCCCTTGTTTTAACGCGCGAGTAGTGGTAGCGGGTGCAGCTATGGGATATTATTTTTGCCAGTGTCAAAAATAAAAGGAGGCTTTACTACTGTCCTTTCTGGCAAGAAGACAGAAGTTGCGTGCGTGATTTCGATCTAAATTTCCCCTCCATCACCTCCCACCTCCCTCCCCCCATCAACACCCACCCAACCTCCACACCACCACCCCCACAACGACACATGCACGCACGCGCGCGCACATTCACAAACACAAATGCACACACACACACACACAGGTACACACCAACAAGTGTGGTCATCCGGGGGTTCAACACTCAAAGTCGCCAACTACAGCAGCAGCGACCGTGGGAGAATCCCTGAGGAATCCTGGACCACGTGGTGGTCTACTTCTACCGCTGCGGGAGGCCGGGCCACATCGCGAGAGGATGGCAAGGGGTATTCGAGCCGAGACAACCAAGCCAGCTCCAGGCAAGATCGCGCGACTTCCCAAGAAAGACCCAGGCCAGTCACGACGACTCGGACACCCGGCCAGACCACAAATACACCTCGTTATCACACCTCATCACCGGCACACGACTCTACACGCGACTGCCCAGATCGACACAACAGGGCAAATTTGGCCAACATCTAGGGGTAAGTGGAAGAAGTTAGTGAGGGAAGTGGTAGGAGCAGCCACGGTGAACGTCGGTTTTTTTTAGCGGGAGCGGCAACCCATTAAAATAATGATGGCCCAGGGCTGTGTTGAGACGCCGTCAGGGAAAGGAATATCTTTTGTGTGGCCTGATGCGGACACAGGAAAGGCCGCCCAGAGTACACGCCCTGGTGGGAGAGCCCATGGCGATTCCACCGCTAGCGCTGGTGTTAATTCCCTTGAGATATCGATCACCATTAATGACCTCACACGCGGACGCAACAATTATAGATTCACCTTTGGGACCAACCATCGGTCCGCATTCGCTAGCGTCGGCGGACACCATTTTAAGACGGAACCAGCAGCTATGTGTGCAAGTTTTAAATGCAATCAGAGCGGGCAATCACATTGTGAGTAGGGACAATAATTGCGCAGATTTCCCCAGTGAGTGAGATTCATGAGGATGCAGTTGTAGCGGGGATACAGGAAGAGAATGGTGGGATAGGGTCTCCCTGGGTGGAGGAAGTTATTCAGCGGAACCCTGAATTGACTCAAGGTCAAAGAGACCGCCTTAAAAGTCTCCTTCTAGAATTTTAAGACGTTTTAAGTAAGGGTCCATATGATCTGGGTTGCACGGACTTGAAATGGGGAATGCTTAACCCGTTAAACGTAATTATTATAGGGTGGGATCAGCAGAAAAAGAGCAGATCTGTAGAGCTACAGCTGAGATGTTGAGAGCGTAAATAACTTCTTTATCAACCAGCCCCTGGGTAGCACCAGTAGTACTAGTTAAAAAGCCAGATTGTTCCTTGAGGTTTTGTGTGGATTTCCAACGACTAAACAAGGTTACAATCACGGAGGCATATCCCCTGCCGCGTATTGATGATTCTCTAGATGCATTAGCAGGAGCAAAATATTTTTCGACCTTAGATCTATTGTCAGGCTTGTGTCAACTTCCCCTGGATGACGAATCCAAGTTAGAAACCGCTTTTCGAACACCACAGGGGTTGTTCCAATTTAATAGACTCCCCATGGTATTGCTCACTGCACCGGCAACCTTCCAACGCCTCATGGAACTTGTATGGTCAGCCCCACAATGGGAAATTTACTTGATTCATTTAGACGATGTCATTCTTTTAAGTCGGTCTTCAAAGCTCGAGCAGCCAAACTGAAATTTAAACCATCAAAGTGCCAAGATTGTACAGGGCTCAGTTAAATATCTGTGGCATGTGGCCAGCGGGTAAAAGGGGTAGCAGCAGCTGACCCTGATAAAAAAACGTTTTGCAGTAAAAAAAAAATTTGGCCAACGCCCACTTCTGTGCAGGAGGTCCGGCAATTCCTAGGATTTGCTTCCTACTTTCGACGATTTTGTACCCCGGTTCGCGAGAGTAGCGATACCCTTTGCAGGGCCTTACACACACCAAAAGGGGTGCGATTCCGGTGGGGGGGAGAAAGAGGAATCGGCATTTCAAGCGCTTCGCTCAAGGTTAACTGATGCTCCACCACGAGCAAATCCTGGTGCTTCTCGCTGCCGTTCATCCTTGATACAGACGCTCGTGACGTCGGTATAGGTGCGGTTCCCGTCGCAGATAGAGGGGCAAACGGAAGTTATCATTGCATACGGGAGTCACGTGCTTTCCGGTGCTGAACAGCGCTGTTGCATCACTCCAAGAGAAGTCCTGGCAGCAGTTCATTTCGTCACGTTGTTTCGGCCCTACGGATGCGGCCACCGGGTTTGCCGTTTCGGACCGATCATGCGGCACTGAAATTCCCCCTTGAAATTGAAAAAAAACTCCAGGAGCACTCTTGCGATGCGACGCACAAGAAGGGTGACTCGTCATCGTAATGAGGACGCCTTGCCAAGAGACCCATGTGCACGCACTATGCGAGGAGAGCGGTGTAAGTAAATCGACCCTCCCC